CTCTCTTACACACACACATATACACACAGAGTAACTTGATAATGGAACCATTTAAAGAATTAAAGGGGAAATAATTCCAGATCAGCTGAGGTTTTAACATGGGTTGACAAGAATGATGATGTCACAAACAGAAACAGGAAAGTTAGAAAAAGAACTGGTTCAGAGGGAGAATGATACTGATGTGAGCTGTGCAGAAATGAGAGTGATGAGGCCCCAAGAGGAACACGCTGTCTGTCTGTGTGGTAAAGGCAAGATGTTCAGAAATGGAGAAGTTCTGAGGGGCAGTATTCAGAAATGTTCTTCTGTACCTTCAACATAAAAACCAGAGGCAGGGACTGGGGAGAGAGCACAGCAGGTAGAGCACTTGCTTTACATGTGGCTGACCCTGGTTTGATCCCCAGCATCCCATATGGTCAACTGAGTCCACCAGGTAACAAATGATAACCAGGAGCCTCTGAACATAATCAGGTGTGGGCCCCAAACAAAAACAGAACAAACAAAAAGAACAAGAGGCAAAAGAAGCAGGGGTTTAGATCTGATTATTCTTGTAGCATGGAAAATGAGACCTGTTCAGAAATGCTTTGGTTCTGTTTCTTTCCCATATTTATTATGTTTATTATTTTTTTTTCTTTTTGGGTCACACCTGGCGCTACACAGGGGTTATTCCTGGCTCTGCACTCAGGAGTTACTCCTGGCGGTGCTCAGGGGACCATATGGGATGCTGGGAATCGAACCCGGGTTGGCCGCGTGCAAGGCAAACGCCCTACCCGCTGTGCTATCTCTCGGCAAGCTACCGAGAGTATTTGATATGCCAAACACAGTAACAACAAAGTCTCCAATGGAGACGTTACTGGGCCCGCTCGAGCAAATCGACGATCAACGGGAAGGCCTTTCCCATATGGCCTGCTGCAACAGTAAGGACAAGCCAGCAGAAGCAGGTGATGGAGTCTTCTGTGCACACAAACAACTCCGCTAGTGAGTGCTGTTTTCCTGCAACTTACCTGATGGGTATCGTACATTCTTCTATCCTTTGTAAGGAGGACTTGTCCAAACCTGCCCTTCCCCTGTCCTCCTCCCTTCCTCCCTATGGTCACCTTTTCAGTGTGGTCCCTTCCCCAGTCACCCATGCAAACACTCCCGAGGCCGGGTCAGGAGTCTTTCTGCCTGTAAACTTCATCATGTGCTCACCTAATTTCCTTTCTAGTTTCCACTGAACTTGGTAACAATTGAGGATTAGATTTTTCAATTCAGCGACAATAAAGGATTGCATTCTGGGCAGCCCAGAAGCCAGAAAGGATTCATTGAGCACAATGGTAACTGAACATAATTTAGATGGGGAGCTTTGGCTTTGGACCTGAAATACAGAGTGTGTCTGTGAGGTGTAGCATGTGGGTTTCAGAATTCCTGGCAGGGAGGAACCCTAATGCTGCAGCCTCTCCTTCAGCTTGCTAGAGTCCTTTTTTCTTTGACCCATAGGCCCGCTCTCAACACCTCCCAGGCTGCTCCTAGCTCTGCATGTGGACTCGGCTCACCCATTTCAGGTCCTGCATGACAGTCCCTTCATCTTAGGGTGGTGAAGGAGGTATCTCCAAAAGCAAAAATTGTGTTTATTTAAAATCTCCCTGGAAAACCCTTGAATCAGACGCAAGAGATAATTGCATGGTGATCATTGTGTCCACAAAACCATTTACGTGACTCTTGGGATAGTGGAGCTAAAAACAGTCAAAGCTGTAGGAAGCAAGCAACAATTCAGAGAAGATAACAAATGATGGAATCCCTTGCATTTCTTTTGTCTTGGGACAAAAAGTTCAAGAAAGGGGGGCCAGAGCAGGAGTACAGTGAGGCGGGCGGGCGCTTGCCTAGCACGCAGTCAGCCGGGTTTGATTCCCAGTATCCCATATGGTTCCCTGAATCCGCCAGGAGTGATCCCTGGGCACCTAGTCAGAAGCTGTGAGTACCATTAATGTGACCCAAAAAACAAACTAACATTCAAGAAAAAAGAAAAAACCGGACTTTAGAAGTCAACAAACCACTTCTGGGATCAACCACCACAGATGGATAAATTTCCTTTAGAAATAAATTTATTTCTGAGCTCATGCCACCCAATACTGATTCAGAGTAACTCTGAAGCACATTTCTGCTCTATTCAGAAAAGCCAAGAATTCCACCCCCTGCAAGTTAACACCAAGTACAGTAAACCTGATTCAGCCAGACACAAATCCACCGCAGACAGAATGAATTATGCCACCTTAATCAGTCTGTACGATTCCATCCAGGGGCTCAATCCTGTTTGTGGCCCTTATCAGGTATTTAGTTCAAACTTTAAAATAGCACAAAATCAACTAAAACTCCATTATAAAATGCCAAAGTACATCAGTAACTTGTCAAAACCAAATACTCAAAAACAATTCTTAAAACAAAAATCAGCAAATAATTCACCTTAGTATGTTCTCCTACATTGAATGCATTCCTTCCAGGTCAGTCTCAGAAAACTGAAATGCTAAAAAGCCTTCACAGTCTGGCTCAAATCTCGTAACAGTAAAGTGGTATGTCTAGCCAGCAGGTATTTTCTTACAGTGAATTAAGTATTTTAGAGATAGAACACTTAACATACTGGAGTTTAAGACAGCAGGCAAGGGGCCAGGAAGATAGTATAGTGGGTAAGGTGATGGGCCTCACATGCAGTTAATCCCCGCACCCTATATGGCACAGAGCCCCACCAGGTGTGATCCCTCAACATTTCTTCATTAACTTGAACTATATACTAAGAACTGTGAATGATATAAAGATGAAAAGAAGATGAGGGGCTGGAGCGATAGTACAGCAGGTAGGGGCATTTGCCTTGCATGCGGCTGACCCGTGTTCAATCCCCTGCATCCCATATGGTCCCCTAAGCACTGGCAGGAGTAATTCCTGAGTGCAAAGCCAGGAGTAACCCCTGAGTATGGCTGGGTATGACCCAAAAAGAAAAAAGAAAAAAAAGAAGATAAAAATTCTTTGCTTGCGAAGCATTTATCATTTAATGAGGAGTTAGAATATACACAAAACCCCTCTGCCTACATGTATTTCTTCATCTTTGTCTAACATGACCAAACCAGTGTTGGGAAAGTTACAGAAAAGATTTCCAAGACACAAACAAGGATCAAACATGTCTTGTTTAGCGAGGCAAGTGTTGCTGTTTTTTCTCTCTGCTCATTAAGGCCCCAGTAATCATCACTACTTTGCTTTCCTTGGTCGTGTACCTTGGTTTATTTTCTGTTCCCCGCTCATGTAATAAGATAGAGCTTTCTGGGGTTTCCTGTACTGCTCTGAGTTTTTTTTTTTTTTTGCTGGCTGTTGCTGGGGCCCACCACGGCTTACCAACCAGTGCCAAGGTAATTTGCCTTTGCTGCAAGAACCCCTCCACACAGCTTCTTCTTTGTGCCTTTTTATGGGCGATCTGGAAACAATCACTGGATCTGTGTCACTAACAGTGGCTCAGAAAACTTGGAGCCTTAGCTACTCAAAAATAACTACCTTCAGGAAGTTTATCTTGAGAAAGTCTAATCAGGAAGGTAAAAGACAACAGCCCTGAGAACTACCCTCTGTGATTCCAACTCCTACTAGCTTTGCTGCTGGAAGATAGTAAGATGCACTTGAAATTGAAAGCAGCAGAAACTGTGCAAAAATCCATGGCACATTTTAATGTATGAAAGTGCTAACAATAGCGTACAGGAGTGTGTCAAGGGCATTATTAGCATTAGGTCAAAATCATCAATATTTTGCACTGCAGAAATGAAGGTTAACTTGAAAACCTTTTACTAACACACCTACAGAGACACTTTTTGTAAGTGATGAGCTGGGCTTAACCTTGCATTTTTGTTCATCTGTTAACTCTGAGGTTTAAAAACTTGCTTTTACTCCTCTTCCCCTACATTTTGGTAGAGGATTCGGGTCTTGTGAAACCAACACACGACATCACATAGCTACCGGTGTCCCGTGGACAGATGAATACACAAAACAAAACACCAAAAAAGGGAGGATAGGGAGTAACCAAAGGCCACAGGACCAGATTAATCATAAACCTCAACAACGGGAAACCTGCATTTTCTTCCCACACTTCCTTCCCTGCCTTTGTTTCAGCAGAACCAGACCTTCAAGGTTAACTGCAGTCTCCGGGGCCGCGCTGAGCCCACCAAGACGCGGGGACCCCCTTCCTGATGGAAGGCTCGCTGCCTATTTATCTGCATCTGTTTCCCCGGGAAAAGGCTGCTATTCGCCCACTGCTCAACAATACACACTGCATTCCTGCACACACGCCCACCCCGCTGGGAAGCACGCAGGAGGGATCTGCATTAAGTTCCCCGACAAGAAATCGCGTGGAACATAACGAGACAAGGAAAGGCCACTGAAATCCGAAACAAACAAACAAAAAATCAGATACCCATACAAACGAGCCCCCGGGAATCGAGAGGGGAGGGGAGGCGTGCGCACAGCGTGTGGGCTGGGGGTGCTGGTGGGGGTCGCTTTTTCTCCTTCCCCCGAATCCGGGGGCTCCGGACCTCTGAGCGGCAGGGAAAACCTCCGAGGGGGTCAGAAGGCCAGGTGGGGGGCGCGGCCAGTCTAGTCGGGTCTGACCGTGCCGGCCCTCCCCCCGGCCCGCGTGTTCGGAAGGCGCGGGTCTGCCCTCTAGGAGGAGCGGCGCGCTGGGCAGGTGGAGGGCGGGGGTCGGCTCCCGGGGGTCCGGCTGCGCAGCGGGCGGCGGTCGCGAGGAGGCAGTAGGAAGCCCTCCCGGAGCCGCGGCAGGACAGGAGCCCCGACAAGGGGGCCGGGGCACCGGTGGGGACAATGAGGCGCAGCGGGGACCCCCGGGAGGGGGTGGAGGAGCGGCCCCGCCCACCCGGGGATGGGCGCGAGGGCAGCTGGCACGGAGACGTGCACATCGGGGGGGCCTGCCCTGGCCTTTCTCTCGAGAGCCCGACGCCCGGTCGTCCCCGTGGCCCCGCAGCCGCGGCTCCTACCTCTCCCCGGCGCTCCGGCTCCGGTCCCCGCCGCCTCCAGCACCCGCGCCCGTCCACCGCCCCCCGAGGCCACGCCCCGGTTGCCAGGCGGGGCCACTGACATTCCCTAGAGCCAATCGTCATCTCGCCTCTCCCGCTCCGGCACCAATCCGCGCCGGGCGGGGGCGGGGCTTCTCCAGTGTCATTTCGGCTCCGCCCCGCGCCCCAAGATCCCTTTTGTTTGGGGAGAGCCGGGCTGGGATTGCGCGCGCGTCACTTCCGAGAGGAAGCTGCCTCCGCCGGCTCCCGGTGGGCTCGGCTCCTCGGCCTCGGTCTGGAACTGTTCCTCTCCTGTGTGCTGTCTGAGCTGGAGGGCGGCGAGAGAGGGGTGTTCTTCGTGTTCCGCGAGGTTCAGGAATGGATGTCTTAGGTGCCCTGGACGGGTACATTAGCGTTCACTTCACTCAAAATGCCCATAAATGAATAAATCGACTGCTAGACCAGTTTTGTTATCCCCTCTTCCCCTCCCTTTGTTGCTGCGATGTCTGGGGACCTGCACCCTTGCATGTGGTGCTGCTTTGCTCTCAATGGTGGTTATCCCCCTCTGCCCTGACCCCCACCTCCCAATCTCAGTCAAGCATGCGAAGCAGGTACTTCCCTCATCTCACTTGGTGTCTGCTTTATAATTAGTAGTTGAAAACCTACAAAGGTGGGGAGCAACACTTACCCTGCGTCTCGCCACCCATCCCCAGAGCCAGATGTGGTTCCCCAAGCACAGCCAGGAGTAAGCCCTGAGCACAGCAGGGGCTGGCCCCAACCCGTCCACTTGGCACCGAACCCCGCTCCCCTCACTCCCTACCCCTAGCAAAATAACTGCCAATCAATGCTCCCTCTCTGCTCTGCCTTCCTTTCCTTAGATCTGCATGGCTGTGTAGGCTGTGGGCCTAGAAGCAAAGGTCTGAAGATGAAAGCCAACATCAAAGAAATCAAAGACCCCTTTACATTTTTCACATTACATTTGGAAAAGAAGACATTCTACCTCTGAGACCCCGTGGGGGTGGGCATGAGGAGGGGTCATAGGGAGCACCCCAGAGTCTACCTGCCCTGCCTGACTTCCTAGCAGAGTTGGAATAATTAAAAAAATTTGAATGTTAAGGTTTTCCTTGCAATGTTTGTCAGTCAGATGGGGTATTTTTTCTGGTGTGTGTGTGTGTGTGTGTGTGTGTGTGTGTGTGTGTGTTTCGTCTCCTTGGGCACATTTTAGTATGCTGTGAGGCTATTGCGCTTGTTGTGAAGATAGAATGAAGTGAAGTGAATGCAAGGAATGTCTATCCCTTCACTGCACACAGTCATGCAGATCTTGCTGGTGGCAACTTGCCCTACCAGGACCAAATAACCAGGGTCATGCATCTTTTACTGAGGTTCTGGATTCTTTTTCCTGTCATCTGTATACCTACTCAAAGTTTGAATCCACTGGTTGAAATAGACCTAATAACTTTATTTTTAATGTCATATAATAATTAGAATACAATAAGACAGTATTCAAATAAAGTATTGCATACTTTGAGTCTTTTGCGGGGGGTGGGGAGAGACATAGCCAGTCATGCTCAAGTGTCACTCCTGGTTCTGTGCTTGTCAGTGATTGAAATGAATTGAGGTTGGTGGCATGCAAAGAATGTAGATGCCTTATCCTTTGTACTGTCTCTCTGGCCCTCATATTACACACTTTGTATACAATATTCTTAGGCTAAGCAGTTATTTTTGTTTTGTTTGGGATATCCCACTTTCAGCTATGCTCAGGGCTTACTCCTGGCTCTGCGCTTAGGAATCACACCATACCTGGTGCCAGGGATGGATCCTGCGTTGGTTGCATGCCAAGCAAGTGCCCCTGTGCTATTTCTCCAGTTCCAACCTTAATCATCACAATCAAGCACAGTGTGAGTGCCTAGAACTCCGAGAGAGACACAATCCTCCGGACAGATCCAGCCCTGCCTGCAAGCAACACACTCACTCCGTGGGCATGTGTCGGCCTGTGGAATTTGAAGGAAGTCTGAGGGAAGCAAACCAATAATTATCATGTCATCCCAGTACCAGATACTTTCACACAATGATATCTTACTGAATCTTTGCAAGTGCATGATAAATCTGCCTTAAATCTAAGACAGATATCACAGTGCCCATTTTACAGAGGGGAAGAGACAAATCACTTAAGGTGCTAGAGCTGACAAACAATAAGGAAAGAACTTCCAACAAGATTCTGTGATGTCAAACTGGCGCACTTTGTTCACAGTATTGTAAGAAGGATTAGCTGACTTAGACCTGGTTGTCAGTCAAGATAACCTAGGAGCCACAAAAAAATTCAGGCCTCCCCAAACCCATCTCAGAGAATTCTCTTTACAGAGGAAGGACAAAACCAAGAAGAAGCAAAACAGCTGAGCAGCCCCCAAATTTCTGAAGTAAGGAAGTAGGAAATAGACTTTCCAGCTCCTCCTGGGCTCAGCGATCTGAAAGGCAAGGTCAGGAGCTCCATTAATGCTGACTTGCCTTGAAATAAGATGTCAAAAGTGGCTAAAGACGCAGTAGCGCTGAGTGCTGGGATAGGCCGTTGGCCTTGAAAATTCCCAGTTCCTCCTCCTCCCTGTGGCCCTGCCTAGGGTAGGCCATGAGGAAGTGCCTCACTGCCAGACAATGAAGCAGATGTGGGAGAGTGGCTATTTTCTGCTGGCTTCTGAGTCACTCTGAGTTGTCCTGGTGAATCAGCTCCTCCCTCCTTCCCCTCCTTCCCTTCTCATTAACCCCCGCTGGGAATTGTATTGCCCTTCCCAGCTGCCCAGGTACAGCCTGTTCTGGGATCTTTGGGGGTCCTTGGGGTCAAGCGGCAGCCCCCCACCCCCCACCTGCCCAGAATCCCAGCTCCCTCCTGCCAGTTTCCGAGTAAGTGTGGGAGGCTGGGGCAAGAATGAGATCATCCCTGCCTGGTGAATTCAGAGTCCTGAGGGGATCTGACTGCTTTCCTTTTCATTCAAGGCCCTTGGAGGAAGTGAATGGGCGGGCTCTCAGGAGCCTCTGGAAAACAGGCTGCTGCCTTGGCAGCTGTGAGCACATGCTGGGGGCCAGCTTGTGATTCCTCAACATATAAAGTGTGTAATTGGATAGGATGTAAAGTAGAAGGCAACCAATCTCAATTAAGAAAATATAAACACACAAGGCTTAACCTGTAACAACAAGTTAGTAATTTCTTCTACAAGGACTTAATAGCTCCATGGTAAGATACAATAGCATTCACACATTTTCTTCTAAGGAAATATTTTTTGATCATTATTAGAGATTATAACAAGCAATATAAAATAAATTATTCAGGGCCTGCTATAGGGGCAGGTTTGGAAAATTAGAAATAATGGTTGTGGGAAGGTGCAGTGGTAGTGGGATTGGTGTTGGAATATTGAATGTAATAAATCATGAACAACTTTATTATAATAAATACATTAATTCATTAATAAAGTACGTAAGTATATTAGTCTGGTATAAAGGAATACATAGAGGTAGGTTCATAATAATTTCTCAAATTTATAAGAACACAACCTACCATTTTTTTTTATCCTGTTTTATCAACTTCCAGTAAGTACTTAGCAAATCCTGGTGTGTGTCAGTCAACAGCTTTGTAAGAAGTGTTGAAGGTAAGAAGATGGTGTCCAGTGGGGCCGGAGTGATAGTAGCATTTGTCTTGTATGAAGCAACCCAGGTTTGGTCCCTGGCACCCCATATGGTCTCCTAAGTCCCTTTAGGAGTGATCCCTGAGTGCAGAGCCTGGAGTAAGCCCTGAGCACAGGTGTGGCTCTGAAACAAAGCATTGTAGCACTGTCCTGTAGCACTGTCCTCCCCATTGTTTATCAATTTGCTCAAGTGGGCACCAGTAAAGTCTCCATTGTGAGACTTGTTAATTTTTGGCATATCGAATACACCACGGGGAGCTTGCCAGGCTCTGCTGTGCGGGCGGGATACTCTGCGGGCGGGATACTCTCGGTAGCTTGCCAGGCTCTCTGAGAGGATTGGAGGAATTGGAGGATTGGAGGAACCCGGGTAGACCACGTGCAAGGCAAATGCCCTACCCGCTGTGCTATTGTTCCCAAACAAAAATGTGTTGTCTTTTTTTTCTCTGCCCAGGTGAACTTCCTAGGTTCCTGTCCATGTTTAGCTGACCAGAAGAGGCAACGGCGGAGGACTAGCGAGCTGACCTGGAAGGAGATTGGGCACACCTCTGTCATACACTGCACTCATTCCCTTGGACTGCGCTTACAAAAGACCATACAGTCATCTATTTTGTCTCTGTCTGCACACTGGGAGTCTGCTATCAGGGTGACAAAAAGATTGGCTCCTTCTAGGATCTGTTCCATGCTGCCTCCAAGCTCCTGGTGGTTCTCAGCAGTCCTGGCCTGCCCTGGTGTGTGGCCACATCACCCTAGTCTTGCTCTCCATCTGCACACAGTCTTCTGCCTATGCATCTCGGTAACTGCATCAACCGATAACTCTTCTCTTATAAGGAGCCTATCACATTGGCTTCAGGATTCACCCTAGTCTCTAATATTACTTCTTTCTTTCTTTCTTTCTTCCTTCCTTCCTTCCTTCCTTCCTTCCTTCCTTCCTTCCTTGCTTCCTTCCTTCCTTTCTTTTATTAGCAAAACACCATGAGGTACAGTGTAGACTTATAAACTTTCTGCTTGGGTTTCAGTTATACAATGATCGAGTACCCATCCCCCCATTAGTTTTTGGCATATCAAATACACCACGATGTATATTCGATATGCCCATTCTTCACCACCAATGATCCCAGTAGCCCTCCCACCTCCCATTCCATCCCCCCCACCCCACCCCACCTCTGTGGGAGGGCATTCCCTTTTGCTCACTCTTTCCTTTAGGGTGTTGTAGTTTGCAATAGAGGTATTGAGTGACCAACGTGTTAGGTCTATAATCTACTTTCAGCATGCATTTCGCATCCCGAGCGAGTCCTCCAAACATCCTTTACTTGGTGTTCCCTTCTCTATCTGAGCTGCCTTTCCCCCTAGCATGTGCTGCCGGC